TTCTAAAGAATTTGGCTGTAAATAAAACTGCAAATCAGCGTCAACTGGTCTTTTTTTGAAATAATCATCGTAATCCTGTAATATACAGAATATCAGCTTGTGCTTCAGATCGATTTATATTTCTCTGATTTGCTTTTAATTCATATAAACAAACAGTAAAACCACCATCATTCTTTTTCTTAAAATTTGAAACTAATAATTTATAATGCTCGCCTCCTCTAAGCAATAAAAATTGCATTTCTGTAAAAAATATGATATAATAATCCTTCTGGTGTAGATTTATCCAATTAAGGATGATTAAAAATCATAGCAACTTCACTTTCACTTAAAGGAGAAGCAGCTCTTCGTTCACCTAGTTCCTACCTTGCAAGTTGTTTAAATTTTCCATTAATTACTTGCCATAACTTATAGAATTTCTCTTGATTTAATATATGTACTTGATGGATTACAGAATGTTCAGATAAATATCATGCAATAGCATAAACTCCAACTTTTACAGATTGTGCTTTATAATCTTTTCCATTAACTATTCGTATTGCTACAATAAATTTAATGATTTGTTCTTCAAGTTCCTTTTCATTATCAATTTCTTCAATTTTTCAATTTAAATTTATATCTTTTCAAAACTTTTCTAATTATATATTCAGTTGTTAGTAGACTTATTAGTTGAAGGACAACGGCTAAAACTAACTATTGCTTATATTTCTTTAATACTGGATTCACTGTATTTAAAAGTTGGCTAATAAAAATAAAATTTAATATTGCTAAAAATTGTTTGAAAATAAATAGCTTTAAAGATAATATATACCTTTATAAATGGTTTTTGTTTTGCTTTAGGTATAATAAAAAATATATAAATAGTAAAAGAAAGAAGGAAGAGAAAAGAAGCAAATAAAATTTTATCATGATCAGGACTGAATAATTATATCATAACTTTACGTGTAATCAATGATTACATGTGAAATTACTATCAAAAATAAAATTTAAAAACATTTAGATTAAAAAAATATATATATATAAAATAATCAACAAATAATCATCACTATGCCAAAAAAATGTACCTTGCATCATATTACAGTACTTTGATAATATGTATTACTATTACATTCTATTATCATTATATAAGATTATTTGAAATAAATTTTTTTTTTTTAAAAAACTCATTTTTTATTATAAATTATAACAATATCTAATATTAATTATAAAGGTAAGAGCATATGAAATAAAGCAACTAAAATATTTTTACCAACAATAAAAAAAGGAATAAAAATATAATAAAATGAATTAATTTGACAGTTATATAATATTCTAAAATCCTTTTTTTTTTATGAAGTTACATTAGAATTAGTTTCAGATACTTCTTCATTAGATGAAAGTAAATACAAAAAATTCTATAAATAATTAACTAAATATTAAAATTGCTAAATCATATTAATTAATTTCAAAATTTTCTTAAAATAAATACATTATAATAGAATCAGTTTCAGATACTTCTACATTAGAAGAATTATATAGTAATAAACTTTATTTATATATTATTTACTTACATAATTATATAATAATTAATATTTTTAAAATAAAAATTTAATGATGGTAATACTTAGATTGTAAACCATTTAATTATTATTATATTTTAAATTTATACAATTTAAATTTAATTAAAAAAATTTTTAATAATCAATAATACTATAGGGAGTAAGCTATTTATTTTTTACATTTTAATTTATTTTTATATATAAAATTTTTAATGATAATTAATAATATTTTAGTTAGTAAATTATATTTATTTATAATTTTTATTTAATATTTATTATTATTTATAAATAAAATTTTTATTAAAATTATAATGTTAATAATTTAGAAGGTAAATTATTTTATTAATTCAATTAATTATGTTTATTATAATTTAAATAAAATGTTAATATTTTTATTATATTATAAAAAGTAAGATATTAACTTTTTTATTATAATTTAAAGTCAACTGAATTTTTATTTAAAAAAATAAATAATAAATAATAATATAATAGATGGTAAGTTATTTTATTGATTATTAGTATTTAATTATACTTATTACTGTGATTAAAGTCAACTAAATTTTTATTTAAATTCGATAGTAAGTTATTTTTATTGATTATTAGTATTTAATTATACTTATTATTTTAATTTAAAGTTAATAAAATTTTTTATTTAAAAAAATAAATGTTATTTATTTGTAAGTTATTTTATTAATTATCAGTATTTAATTATATTTGCTACTGTAATTTAAAGTTAACTAAATTTTTTATTTAAAATAATAAATTTATTAGTGAGTAAGTTATTTTTAATAATTAACAGTATTTAATTATACTTGTTACTATAATTTAAAGTCAACTAAATTTTTTATTTAAAAAAATAAATTAATAATATAATAGATTTTAAGTTATTTTTATTGATTATAGTATTTCATTACACTTATTACTGTAATTTAAAGTTAACTAAATTTTTTATTTAAAAAAATAAATTAATAATATAATAGATAGTAAGTTATTTTTATTGATTATTAGTATTTAATTATACTTGTTACTATAATATAATTAAAATCAACATGATAAGTTATTTTTATTAATTATTAATATTTAATTATGCTTGTTACTGTAATTTAAAGTTAACTAAATTTTTTATAATAATTTAGATATTAAGTTATTTTTATTGATTATCAGTATTTAAGTATACTTATAATCTATTATATTATTAATTTAAATAAAAAATTAGTTGACTTAAAATTATAATAATAAGTTATTAAAATCAAATAAAAGCTATTATATTTGATTAATAATCAAAAAAATAGGTAAAATAATAAAAAAAGTTACTAACATTACTGCATTATCAAAAAAAATTAAAGTAACAAATCTACTAATCTAACTAATAAAATTATAAATCAAAAAATAAATAATTAATTATTAATTAATAATTATGAATTAATTATTATTAACTAAATAATATAACCAACTATAAGAATAGATAATACATAATATTAAAATAAAAAACAATTTCATTATGTATCTAATTGTATTACTATAATGAACTAACTGATTTGAATCTTTTTTTTAAAAAATTATTTAAACTACCTTTATTCTTTAGGATAGATTCCTTCTCTATCTTTATCTCTACCTTATTCTCTACTTTTTAGTATTAGTATTAGTGTTATAATTAATGTTAGAGTTAATGTTAATATTAATATCAGAATTAGAGTTAGTATTAATATCAGTATAAGTATTAGTATTAGTATTAGTATTAGTATTAGCATTAATGTAAAGCAAATATAATAAGGTAAAGTATATAATAATGGTCGATTATTGATATTACATTTTAAACCCTACGCTCAGCCTATCAAACTTAAGGTAATTATAACTTAATAATAAGAAATAATATATGAGAAACTACTAAGTTACTGTAGAATAAGTTCTATCACAATCAATCTTAGGTTTATACTTTAGATAAGTTAAAATAACTTTAACAACTTGTAAATATGATAAACACAATTGATATGTTGAAGGATTTTTAATATGTGTAGTTTAGAAAAAGATTCCTTTATTGTAGAAATTTATATCCTTAGCAATCCTTAACCTTAGATTCTAAGTCTTAAACTCAAATTATTGAGTTATCACTGTTATCTCTATCCTTTTGTAAGGATAAATTTCTATCCTTTTTATACAGAAATACAATTATAACAAATTACTATCTAACATTAAACTATTTTATAACAATAAAATAAATATAAAAGATAAATTATAATTTAATGATAATACTAATAAAATAAATAATAATAATAAAATATAAGAATAAAATAAATAAAATAAAAATGTTAACTAAGTTAAAAATGCTAATGATGTTAATAACATTGATCATTCATCAATCTTTGTGACGCAGTAAGATTGACTTCATATCTTATCAATTTTCTTCTCTAAATTTACAACTTCTGCAAAAATTTTATAGGTTTCGTCAATCAAGTCCTTGAATTCTTGGGATTTAAGATTATAAATAGTCCTCAAAATCAAATTCTGAATTTCTACAAATTTGCAAAAAGAATTTTGCAGAATGCATACTATATTTATATATGACCTATTAGAGGAGAGCATTTCGTATTCATGCTATTCAAAATCAACCTTACAAATATAGGTATTTCTAATATTATATAAGGCTAAAATTTGTTAATATTTAGAATTATGGGATTTAAAATTTTATATAAATAGCTTGATTTTGAATGATATTCTAAAGTCACATGATAAATTATTTTTTTAAAATATAACTTTTACATGCATTGATTCAATTATTCAAAATCTAAATCTTTAAATCTTCAAATTTTTCAAACAAAATGCCTTTTAATAATTATTCCAAAAATAATCTTAAAAAAAGTATTGAACGTATGAGAACTTTTCATTCACAACAAAAAAATAAAGTTTATGAACAGTTTGCAACCCTATAAATTTAAGCACAAGAAGAAAGAAAGAGATTACTTATGCAAATAAACTGGTATATCTTGTAGCTGATCAAAATATTCACAAAGAACTATTACGACAAAGAATAAATACATTGAAAGCTAAAAATCTTTGTTAAAAAGAGGCATTTTTAGAGTAGTGGTTATTTTATAAAGACTTGTAAGAAGGTTGAGTATTTACTTCAGTTGGATGGTCTGGGTGGTGATTGGGATTTTTATTTTTACTTGGTCTTTTTCTTGGAATTTTTTTCTTCGCTAGTGGTTCGCTGGATTGGGCTGGTAATTGTAGATGAATTATATGTTTATGTTAATCATTTTGTAAATAAAACTATATACTTAGTGACTTGATTATATTAATTTAATCTTCATTTATGATATACTTAATCTTTTTCTATATCAAGAAAGTTCATTGAAATCTAATATTTAAGAAATCTATCACGAGAAAATTGTTGGACACAAATCTAAAATTAATTTTTGATCAACTAATTATATCGTTTAACTTTCTTAATGTATAAATTACATAAATATTATAAGTAATTTCTTTTTCAGAAAAATTAACATTTTCATATTTCTCAATTTTCATGTATGTATTTTGTCAAATTCTTAAAATTATGCAACTTATGAAAATTTCCTGAATTTTATACTAAATAAAGAAATATCGATATCAATTAAAAATGTACTATACAAATATTATGTGATTATCTAATTTTAGTAATATTGATTAACTACGCCAATTTTAAACAGGTTTTATTCTATAGATT